TAGGCGGAGTCAACTACATGAATCACACGACGTCATTGAGCCCTATTCAAAGCCAAATCTTTGGATATATTGTTAATTGAAAGATCTCTCTTAATACTTCATTAAGTGTTGTCTTCGGCCTTCCACTACTCCTTTTTAGAGGACTCCATATTGTTTGATCAACTCTTATCACCGGCACGTCCAAAGACCTTCTTTGTACATGATCAAACCATCTCAATTGGTTTTCTATCATTTTCTCATTAATAGCAGCCACTCCAACTTTTTCTCCTATATGTGCATTACGGATCTCGTCTTTTTTTGTATGACCACACGTCCATCTCGACATTCTCATCTCAGCAACTACCACTTTATGCTCATGTTGTCCCTTTAAAACCCAAGACTCACTGCCATATAGTATTGTCGGTCTTATAGCAGTGCAGTAAAACTTTCCTTTAACCTTATTAGATACTTTCTTATCACAGATAACTCCTGTTGCTTTTCTCTATTTAAACTACCCAACTTGAATTCTATGACTAACATCTCTATCAATTTCACTATCTTTTTGTATAATTGATCCCAAATATTTAAACTTTTTTACTTGTGGAATGACTTAATCTCCTAATTTGACCTCCAAGTCTGTTCTAACTTGTCTCTTATAAAAAATACAATTCATATATTCTATCTTGCTTCTACTCAAATAAAAACCCTTTGATTCCAAGGTTCTTTTCCATGTCTCAAGTTTAGCGACAATCTGTTCTTTTGACTCGGCCAATAGAACTATATCATCAGCAAAAAACATGTACTTTGGGATTTCTTCTTTGATATGCTTAGTTAGAACATCAAAAACTAAGTTAAACAAATGAGGGCTCAAAGATGATCCGTGATGTAGGCCAATCCTTATAGGAAAGTCCTTTGTCTCACCGCCCAACGTTCTAACACTAGTTGTGACCCCCTCATACATGTCTTGTATGATTTTGATATAAGCGACACGCACACCTTTCTTCTCTAAGGCTCTCCAAAGCACTTCTCTAGGCACATGGTCATAAGTTTTTTTCAAATCAATAAAAATCATATACAAGCCTCTTCTGTGGCTTCGATACTTTTCCATTAACTCTCTTAATAAATGAATTACTTCTGTTGTCAATCTTCCTAGCATGAACCCAAATTGGTTTTCAGAAACACAAATCTCCAATCTTAGCCCATGTTCTATCACCTTCTACCACAATTTCATGGTATGGCTCATGAGCTTAATCCCTCTATAGCTAGTACAGTTCTGAATATCCCTTTTATTCTTATAAATAGGTACTAAAGTACTTTTTCTTCAATCATCAGGCATTTTCTTGGAGCGCAATATCTTTTTGAATAACTTAGTAAGCCATAGCACACCACCTTCACCCAAACATTTCCAAACTTCAATAGGAATACCATCATGTCCAACTGGTTTATTGTTTTCCATTTTCTTGAAAGATTTCTTGACTTTACCAACTCGAATTCTTCGATAAAAAGCAAAATTATGTTCCTTTTCTCTAATTATCAAATCTTCAGGCTCACAAGTCAATCCTTCGCCCCCATTGTTAAATAGCTTATAAAAGTCGGCTTCCTATCGATCCTTAATATCACCATCAATAACAAAACTCTACCTTTTTCGTCTTTTATACATCTTACTTGGTCCAAATCTCTTTTTTTTTTTCTTTATTCTTTGCGATCTTGTAAATCTTGCGTTCACCAATCTTAGTTCTTAAATCCTTATATAACTTCTCAAAAGCTTCAGTACAAGCTTCACCCACTACTCTCCTAGTCTTTTTTTTTTAGCTAAACGTACCTTTCCTAATTTTTAGCATTATTACATAAATGTATCGCTTTAAAACAATCTCACTTATGCTTTATTTTTCCTTGCACATTCTCAGTCCACCACCTTGTCTCCTTATCTCGACAACCACAATCTTTTGATTCACCCAAGATTGCTTTAGCAGCCTTCTAGACCTTATTAGTAATTTCCATCCACATAAGATTAGCATTTTCTTATAGCTTCCAAACCCCTTCCTTTAAAAGAGTCCTTTTGAAAATCTCTCGCTTCTCTCCCTTTAACTGCCACCATTTGACCCTTGAGGTTGACACTTGTTGATGCTTTTATTTTATACATTTAATATGCACATCAAGGACCAGTATCCTATGTTGTGTTGTCACATCATCTCTAGGAATCACTTTACAATTTGTGTAGAGTTTTCTATCAGGATTCCTTACCAGAAAGAAATCAATCTACGACATATGGGTTTCACTCTTGTAAGCGATTAAATGTTCCTTCTTCTTCTTAAAGCAAGTGTTAACAATCTTGAGATTGTACGGGAGGGAGAAATCAATAATAGTTTGCCTTTCATTATAAGCACTCCAAAACCCATACCATCATGAGCCCTTGCATATTGTCCCGCTTCTTTACTAACATGTCTATTAAGATCATCACCAATAAAAATCTTTTTCACGAGTGGTATGCTTTGAATCAAACCCTCCACATTTGTCCAAAATTTCCCCTTAAGATGGTCTTTTGCCCTTACTTGAGGTGCATAAACACTAACCACATTGATAGTATCCCTCCCCGCGATTATTCTTAAAAAAAAATGATTCTGTCTTCTATCCTTTTAACTTCCACCACATTCTTTTTTCATTCATTATCGATGATAACACCGGCTCCATTCCTTGTGCCTACCTTTCCCGTGTATCAAAGTTTGAATCCATTAGTAAATTCGAAAGCCTTCTCTCCAACATATTTAGTTTTTTGAAGGCACAAAATATTAATCTTCCGTTTCTCTATTACTTCCACCACCTCCCTTGATTTACCACACAAGGTCCCAATGTTCTAAGTTCCAAACTTGATCTTGCTTGAGCTAACTTCTTTAATTGCCTTCGTCTATAAGAGTACAGTAGCCCTTGCTCATTTAATACTATATTCGGGTAACAATGCAACAGTTCTTGCTTACTTCTTACTGTGCTCGAGCCATACAACGTGTTACTTCTGGGCAATGACCCAGCAATAACACAATTTGTTTGTTGATCCATGTCATAAAAGATTTGACAGAGTTTTACGTTGACTAGTGAGGGTCTAACACAACTCTTCTCCTTTACTCAGGCTTGGGACCGGCTATGCAACATAGGCGGATTTTATTATGGTAAATTTGATGATTGATTGAGATTGAATAATTGAAGCGTAACAAATAAGTTAGAAAAATTTCAGTCCAAGATTACTCTTAGAAGGTATTGCGTTGACAACGACATTGACTTTTTAGTTTTTACTTTTTATACAAAATGTCAAACGCTAAACTTCAAAGCTATCCACGAGGAACGCGTGTAAATGTGAATTCCGTTGACATTGAATTTTCATGTCTTCGTAATTTTATTGGTTTGTTGACTTTTTATATAATAAAAATAATAGTACTATTATTCATTCAAATATGGTCACTCATGCACTGTTTAAAGTTTTAAAAAATAAACAACTCATGACTCATAACTTACGAATAATATAATTTTTATAATTAATGTTAATATTATTTTTTTAAAAATAACATATGAAAGTTGAAACCTCTTCAAAATAATATCGTCACATTTCTTGTTAAAATATCAAATCAAAGAAAACAGTATTTTAATGAGGACTTTCAAATGCTATTTAACAGACTAAAGCTGTTAATTTATTATTAAATTATTTGACAATTATTAATTTTTATTGCTGTTTGATGAATATATGAAATTAAAAAATAAATAAATAAGTTTTGACGTGCAATTTATGCAAAATGATGAATTGGTCAATCATACAGCTGCAGGAGGTTAACGAATTCAGTAAGTGTTGTTTGTCTTCCCATTTATACTGTGAAAATTTTGGTCATCTTCAACGCAATTTTACTTTAACGCAAATTAAATATCAGAAAAAAGTTTGAAAACACAATCTTTGAATTTTCTTTTTATATCATTCGTTTAAATTATATTCTAATGTGGGAACTCGGTCAATATATATATATGCTATTTACTTACTAAAAAATTGACTGTCGAAATCCTTATCATAACATAGAAACAATTTTTCTTTAATAAAAAATTGCAAAAATATACTTCACAAAAATCATTATTCCGTCACCAACTGAAAATGTTATTCAGTGCTTGACTTCAATCACGTCTAAATGTACTTATTAATATCACTTTTCATTTTCACCTAAAAAAAATATCACTTTTCAGAAAATATCTTCTAAATATTATCATTTTTTTTAAAAAAAAAATGCTCTTGAAATCATGACTTTAAATCAATTTTATGCAAAATATATTCTCTCACCACTAATCTAAACACGTCCTTAAACCCTTGTATCCTCCAAGTTCACAGGTTTTGAGTATCTACCGCAATATTTTTCTATACTTTTCTACCTCCTTTTACATAAAATACAAAGATTCCATCATAATGAATCTATTTGTAAAAGGATGTATAGAAGATTTTATTATGACTGGACTGATGATGAGTCAAGCATCACTAATTATCCCGATCCAATTATTTTGTTTTGTTTTACTTAATTAGCGCATGAAATACACTGTCATGATATATTGTTATTACGCCTATTAATATAATCATATAAATTAATTATTTTATAATTATAAAAAGATGCATGATGAGGAAAAAAAGAAGAAGAAATTATGCATGCTTTTTTTCTCAAAATTAAATATTAACTAATTTCTAAAAGTTTCATTAGATTTCCACTGATACAAACTAAACTCAAGACCTCGTTCTAAAGGCTGGTTTTTATTTTTGTATTTTTCTCTAAATTAATGATGTAGGTAAGTTAAAGTTTGGCGGTTTCAAGGATTTGATTGTTGGTCAAAACGAAGAGAATGGAAGTTTATTTGAATAATGCAAATGGAAGGTTCTATTATAGTTATAATGAGGAATGAAAAGGGTAATTACAAAACAAGACATTACATATCTAACTGTATATATAAATATGCCTCAAGGTGAACACAATTGTTTCAGGTTTCACCTTCTTCCTCTCTTCTCTTCTGTTTCTGTAAACTCTATTCTGAGCTCATATTCACCCACCTCAATACTTCAAACATATCGAATTACCCAACTTGTAAGGTTAACTAGAAAAAAAAAAAAATCCATCTTTTTCTTCTAATCTTCTTCTTCCTGTGTTTTTCGCCATTCATGGACATTGAGCTGAACTCCTGCCCTTGGTCATTTTATATTGTGTTTGAATATATGTTTCTGGGTTTGTTGTCAGGAAAGCGCCATGAGTGCTGTCTATAGCCCTGCTCTCAGATACTCGGGAAACTACTTAGAAGTGGATTCTAGAAGCATCCATATACAGCAGCAGCAGCAGCAACGTTGTTATCATCATAATCAGCAGCAGCAGCAAATTTCTGGGCTATTAAGGTACCGTTCTGCTCCAAGCTCACTGCTGGCAAACCTGGTGGAAAGAGGAGGAGGTTGCAGAGGTTTGGATCAACGGCAACAACATGAGAGAAGAGGTGATGTTCCATCCTTTAATGCAGAAATGGAAGGAATGTTAGATTCTGGTTCCGACAGTGGATGGAGCAATGCGAAGCATGAAGGAGGAGGAGGAGGAGGAGGAGGTTCTGTTTTCTGTAATGAGGCTGATCAGCTGATTCACAATTCTCATGAGAGATTCCAAGAATTTGCAGTGAGTGGGTCATGTTCAAGTGTGATGATGAATAATGTTATGGGTTTTCAGAACTCCGCTCAATCCAAAATGGCTTCTGTGAATTGTTCCAACAATCTTCTCATCAGGCAGAAGACCTCACCTCCTGGGTTTTTCTCCAGTTTCTCATTCACAAATGGTATTCCTTTTAATCTTTATTTTATGAATATCTTATTATTATTTTACTATTTTAGAAACTATATGCATGTTTTCCGTATATTTGCAGCACTGGGAGAACAAGCTGCGACATCCACTAGTGGGTTGAATGGTGCCCTTACCTTCTCATCTGAGCCATCTTCCTCTTGCCCAAGAAGGATGCCACAGATTGCAGAAAATGGAAATGAAACCCTAGAACTCCAAGAAGAACAAGAAGAAGATGAAGCAAGAACCTGTGTTGAAACTAGAAACCTGAGAAATGATAATGGAAGCCAGCAAAAAAGTTATGTGCCCAGTTTTACAAGTGACTTGTGGGAAGGTTCTTCATTCACAGCTCATAAAACAGCCAGTGACAGTAATGAATTCTTGTTTTCTACTTCAGATGCCTTGGAAACTCAGGTTGGTGTACCAAAACCTGGCAAGGTTTTCAATTCAATATCGTCTTCATATGATCTTAATTAATGTCTCTTTTGATGGTATTTAACAGAAAAGAGATCAATTTGGATATCAGAATGTTGGCTTAACTCATCAAATGAGTCTGCCTAGTTCATCAACTAAGACAGGTGGCATAGAGAGGATTTTGCATATTCAAGGATCTGTTCCTTGTAAAATTAGGGCCAAAAGAGGGTTTGCTACTCATCCAAGAAGCATTGCAGAGAGGGTAAAAATCTCAAAACTTAAATCTTTACTCGAGTTATTCTCATGAAGATATTTGCCCAAAAAAAAAAATTACATTTTTGTTATACTTGACAATTCAGATTCCTTGCAATACAAAATGACAAAAGTATATGTGCTTTATTTTGTTTCATTTTATGCCTTCATTATTTTCTCTCAAAATCTACTTTGGAAATTATTTACTGACTAAATGCATAAAATTTAGATCTAGGTTTCTCAGAAAAAATTAATCAATTAAAGAGGCAAACTTTTCTTAGAGGTAAAAACCCCTGTTTATCTATTTAAAATATAATTACTCCTTTCACCCAAGAAAAACAAAGAAAGAAAGAAAAGGTTCCTCACTCCACCATAAACAACTTATTGAACCTTTTTATTCATGTTATCAGTTAAGAAGAACAAGGATTAGTGAAAGAATAAAGAAGCTGCAAGAGCTTTTCCCAAAAATCGACAAGGTATCTCTCTCTCTCTCTCTCTCTCTATATATATATATATATATTTGTGTGTGTAACTTATTGCTTCTATGTTTACAGCAAACAAACACAGCAGATATGTTGGATTTGGCGGTTGATTATATTAAAGACCTGCAAAAACAAGTCAAGGTACAAAAAATATATATACATATAACTATTTCCTCCGGAAAAAAATTATTAAAAAAAATGTAGTTTTTAATCATCTGCTGTCAGATTATATAGTATAATGATGGCACATGAATATCTTATCCTTTTATAGCTTAACATTATAAAATTCATTCTTTTTTTTTTATAAAGGAAATTCATTCTTTAAAAAAGAAGATAAAAAGTAAAAAAATTTCCTTACATAAGATCATGAGTTTTAAATAACCTGAACTTTGTCTCCTCCTCTCCTGCTCTTGCAGATACTAACAGATACAAGGGCAAAATGCAGATGCTCAAGTGTTCAAAAGCAATATTGATCATGAAAATTGAAGCGGGTCCTTGAAAGTTAGGGTTTTACAAAGCTTTTCGTAGTAGTTATTTTTAACCGTTGGGTTTGTAAGATAGTTCAGATCATGTCACCTAACCAAGGTTATATAAATAGAGCGCGTGACAGATTACATTTTCACCCAACAAAAAGTCCAACGACCAAAAGTCAGTACTTCAAATATTTTGTATTTCACGCGTCTAGCTTCCTGACCATCATGATCTTTGAAAAAGGAACGAGGAAATTAATGTTTCCTAGTTGGTTTCTCTGTCTTTTCGATATTTATTAGAAGAAAATTTCTAACCTCGCTTCAATGTTTGATCTTTCTTGCTTGATTTACAGACCATAATGTAATTGCCATGTCCAACAACATTGTTGATAAACAAGTTGGCAATTAACTTCCTTTTTTGTTATAAGAATTTTCTCTTTAATTACAGAGGTAGGCTCCAAAAGGTGCCATTAGGTCTTAAGACCACTGCTTTGGGTAAACCAAATTTTTTGCATGATTGGCTCAACGCTCACTAAAGCAGCCCATTGCATGGAAACAAATTATTTTAAAGAAATACCCAAAATAAAACTAGGCCTTTACAACATCATGAGAGCAATGAGGAGTCTCATTCTAGAATTTCTCCAACTGAATCAATTCATATTCCACGATTTAAGCATTTAATATGCAGAGAGTTTTATTGCTTCAGTAACATACATATTCCACAGATGATCCAAACATACAAAGCCATAGGCCTTTGGGGGTATTCAGTAATTGGCAGGGAGAAAAAACTACCCTCGGCTTTCTATTATAAGTCATACACTGCAGCCCAAAAAAAAAAAACTAACAAAATTTTAGGACTACTCGCTCAATTCCAACTGGGATTAAAATTTATCAGATACAATGATTCAAATCAAAATGCAAGAATTCCCACATGACATTCTTGAGTAAATAAACCTAGCCAGCATAAAGTAGACACGCTTTACAAATGAACAAATCGGCATGTTATATATAAAATTCTAACATGCTTATTTGCCTAGTTATAATTAACTTGATCTACTCATCTTTCGCACAAACAATTCAAGAACACTTCCAAATACAGTTTCTTTTTTTTTGGGCCAATTTTTTTTTCCAAACACGCAGTCAAAAGATAAGCCATTGGCCACCTAAAATAATTGTGTATTCATATACTGCACTACACAATCATCTGCAATCACTCTGAACGCCTAATTGTTTCTAGGAACCTAGTAAGAAACGGGAAAGAGAAACAAAATTACTTGTTACTACTACTCAACATTATTGAATAGCTGAGCAGAGCACCTGGTCAATCCCACCATCATAAAAATGAATTTATTATCTCAAATAAATATTGGTTAGATGCTCAAAATTTCAAGCCCCAGCCTTTACTTTTGACTTTTGTTTCTTTGAATCCAATGATGCCAAACCTTTACCCAATCCAACAGGAGCATTTGCTTCTTGTACAGGTTGTGTTGATTGGTTGCTCTGAGCATCGGTTGGATCATTTGGAGGAAGGCCGTTAGCTTCCTTCTTTGCTCCATCTCCATCCTTGTTGTCCACAGCATCTGGAGTTACACCACTCGAATTTATGATGTTGAGAAGCTGAGTAAGGGGCGGCAATGCTTGTACCGGGACACCATGCGGACGTACTAACAGGCCCCTTGCTGCGGCCTTCTTTCTGACCTCGGCAGCTGCTCGTGCAGCTCTTTCATCGACTCCCCTTCCCCTAGGAAGAGTCTCACCAATCATGGCAGCATTGAGGGATCTGTTGGTAGCCATGCCTGAACTTCCAGACCCTCCGGCAATCGCAGCAGCTTGGAATGCCTGCATCAAATCTGGATTTGCCTGTTGTTACATGAAAATTCTAGACGTCAGTAGATCCTTAAAGTATGGACCAAAGAATCAGATATACTTCGCAAGTTAACAGCCTCCTGGAGTGAGTCCAAAAGGACAAATTTTAAACATTACACTGAAACTACCAAGTCAAATAATGCATCAAAATGAAAGAATCAAATCCTATGAAAAGAATAGCAAATGCATATTTAAAGCACGCTTTGACCAGAAAACTAGTAAGCTGGTTGAAGATATTGATATTCCTAATTTTAACCCATAAGGTTAATCTCAAACATGTTTTCAGTATTAGCCACAAATACCATAAGACTGTATCATAAAGAATAACCTTCAAGATATCAATAGCCTTTTGAGCAGAAGCAGCATTCATACTTTGACCCTTCTGCTTTTGCGCATTCATCTGCCAAAAGAAAAAAGATACAGAAATATGAGTCATGCATGACGAAATGAAAGGTTTTACTTTCATAGCCATTTAGGTGGCACGCCAGAATTAGTTACTATCTGCATCCTAGAAGTCCTCCTTTCCGTAGCCATTTGGATTCAACAAAGTCCAGGATCTAAAACACCACTTCAATGCCTAATAAAAAGAAGTGCACAGTTATACCTGTATCTCACGCTTCTTAAATGTCTCCATCCAGTTTTGTGAGTCACGTGTCCTTGAGTCATCTTCACCAAGTTGTTTGACGAGTATATCATATGTTTTTTTCTCATGCTGTCATACCAAACGCCAGAATCAGACAACTACTTGCTAAATACTAGGATCTGGCAGTACCACTATACGTACCTGGTGAGAGAGCTTGAAAGCTCCCATACAATTGAATGCTATAGCTAGAGCATGATAACACACAGCAGTTTGAATGTGCTCCTCTCCAAGAAGTCTTTCGTTCTTCTTTAAGGCTTCTTGCAGATAACGAAGTGCCGTATTCATCTTTCCTATATCCTGATACATCATTGCAACGTTAATAAAAGTTGCTGCAACATCAGGATGATCTGGGCCTGATGACAGACTTAACAGGAGCAGAGCACGTGACATGTGTCGAAGGGCAAGTTCTGTTTGGTTAAGTCCATGGTAGAACAGAGCCATATTGCCATAACTGAAACAACAATATATTAGATCAAAAAATGTTCGAGAAAACTACTTCAGAAAATGTAACTCAGATTCCTGTAACCTGGCATCTCAATATTTATCTCTTTGCCCATTCTAACATTCCTTTTGAGTTGGAGCAAATAAAATATTAAAAAAACTACAAGAAAATATAAGAAATTAAAATATCAAGGGAATCAACATATATGAGTGTAGTAGGGAATACCTGTGAGCAGTGTCAGGATGATCTAGACCAAGGCAACGTTCATTTATAATTAACTCCTTATGTTGCTGCAAGATAGCTCCACCCAAGTCGCCAGCATGATACAAAACCATGGCAAGGTACCTGAAATTTATTGAAGACATCAAAACTTCGTTAATAAACCACAAACAACTAAATTAGTTGAGAGGCTGGGCGTTGTAGCAAAGCAATGCAAATCTTTGTTAGCTTCTTCAAATTTATAAGCCTCAGTAGATAAAAAATCATTTAATGTGAGAATTTGTATCAAATCTATCGCAGAAATCTGAAGTAACAAGACAAACTTATGTTTAAAGTAACCCTTCTTTAGGGGAAAAAACAAGAACATGGAAACAACAAATATTGACGCACCGACAGCAATTGGCAACCTCACGATGCATTGGACCAGTAACCTGCAGCCAATAAACGATACATCATTTTAAGCACAAGGAACTATTTCAAGAGAGATACAAAATCAAATTTCATGCCTGTTGTAAAATTGAGAATGCCTCTGAAAATAAAGTGTAAGCTTCACTGAGCATGCCCTGTAACAGAAAAATATTACACAATGTAACGCAGTTTGTCAGAAAATAAATCAAGTCAAGCAAGGCGTAACCATTTTAATGCTACATAAACGTTAGCATCTTAACAAACATTAGAAAATCCCATGTCAGGTAACATAATAGCTTATGCTTTACTCCCTTCATTTCTTGTTATGAGACAATTTTTGGGTATAACTTGTTCCTATTTATAAGAGACATTTAGAGGTTATCTCCATTTTTTTTTTTTTATTTGTTCATTTCTCCCCCATTCAATTACTCATATTAATATCGTTGCATTTATTATCTCTTCCACACAACTCTTTTTTTTTTTTTTCCCCTACTAATTTGCTTATTTCTCTCTTATGTTCTCTCTTCCAATAAATAAGAGTATTTTTTTGGGGGGGGGGGAATTACTTCTTTTTTTTTCCACATCTTATTTTCTCTAACTAAATTTAACGAACTCTTTTATCAATGTGATTTGGTTAATCGTCCCATATAAAAAGGAACAGAGGGAGTAACTTGCTAGGGTTCAACCATGAAATAATGCACAACTTTTTTTTTTTTAAATTCTGATAACTTCCACAAAGATTCACCCAAAAAAATCAAATTTAAATGCATAAAAAATAAGCAGCATCACTTTATCATCTAAAATATTTTTTTGGCTGGGGGGGGGGGGGGGAGATCACATTTACAACTAGTATCACAAACTATAAACACTATAAATACCTCAGCTAGTTGAAGTTTTCCAGTTTCCACTAGTTCCTTGGCTTCTGAGCACACAGGGACTGAATGCTTGACCACAGGACGGAGATCCAAGATATCTGATGTTTGGAAGGGTGTTGTAGAATTAAGATCATGCTTACGAGCTGCAATTGTTATACCAACCTGTAAACCAACATTTTTTAAGTGTGATGAAACCCATTCACGCACAATTAATAAATTGAGGTAAGAATCACTCAGCAACTATTCACATCGACCATAGGGGTGGATAAAGCAAAACCTTTCCGGTAATTACTAAGTACTAACCTAACATATTTCATTCAATGCACAACACATACAACGTCAAGGATTAAAACAAGATTATGATGACAAATCTAACATTTTTCCTGGAAGATAATAAGGATAATTTTTTTCCGGTGATGGAAAAATGAAATGACCTTTCCTTTATGACATAAGCAATGTTTTATGAAATGTGTACAATAACAAATACCAAGTGCACATATATCTAGAGCAAATCGCAAGAAGTAGGATTTTTGGATCCCTAAAAAATTCAAATACTAGTAAGTCAGTTCAACGAGCGAAATGCTATGCTTACCTTTTGACAGAGATTACGAAGAACAGAAATCTTCTTCACTTGTGACCTTGCATCCTCTGGCAACTCAAACTGCATTGACGTGAATCATTCAAATTTATACCGACAATACAGATTAGGAGATAAAGGAAATACAAGAAGTGCATGATGTCAAAGTTCACAGCATGAAAAGACATTGTTTAAATTCCACATAGAAGAATGTAAATCATATAATGCTCTATAGTATAGTACTAAGATAACTCCATATGAGAACTGCTATAACTATCGTTCTTGTTTTGCCAAAAGAGCTTCAAATGTTTGCCCATGAAAGGAAAAAAAGGCATTTCAAATGATTCAATGTAAACAAGTTCACAATGTTTTAGACAAACAGAAAATAAACAAACCTTCTAGCAACATCACATTGTTCCGGAGAAAAATATACAGTCAAGTTGGGTGATAACTGATACCTTGTATTTGACCAGTGAGAACTCTCGAATGTCAGACCAAAGAGTTTCAGAGCTCATATTCATGAATGGAGGTAGAGACTTTCTTGAGGATGCCTTGCCTTTCCATCTTGCTTGCCCTCTAGAATGCTTTCCTGATGACTGATGCCCAGAATGTTCCTGTAAATCCATATGCAAACAAGAATTCCCCATTAAGATGCTACATTACAAATTACAAACCATTTAGTATGCTTTATCAAATGAATTTGACAGGAAAGAGAGGAAAGAAAATGCTATACAAATGATTCGCAACACCTTGGAGAAGGTAAAGTGAACAAATGAACTGAGAAAATTGATGCATGAAAAAGCATATTACAGTTGAACGGTAGGAAGGCTACTTAACAAAACTCAACCTTACTGGACATACCCTTTTAGGAGGTTTGGAGTGAGTGCTATTAGCAGTTAATTTTCCACCAGGAGCATGACAGCTTCCAAACAAGCAGTTCAAGAAATGGGATATTGCTGGTGCAAGATCATGATCCTCTGTGTCTCTCAGTACATCCTGCAAATTATAGATGATTGCAAAAGAAAATCACATGATGTCATAACCAAAACACTACTAGGAATACAGGCAGGCAACATTCTCAATGCAAGAGGATTCAGTGCTTTTCATGAGACAGCGTATCCTCAATACGATGTAAATAAATAAGTTGAAACCAACAAAATCATCATGTCCTTCATGCTAATTCAACGTCTTCTATTAATGAAGCAATTGAAGCATCCCCTTATAAGATTACACTCAACAAGAGGAATGTCAGATGTTGAGGTGTTGAACAAAGGGTATATGTCCATCTAGACACACATAGTCTCTTTCAAGTGTTCAAGGAATTAAATGTGACTGCGGATTTGCAAACTGGCTCATTGAAGAAAAGATCAACTTAGAACTGAGCTCCTTTGACTACTTCTTTGACAATGTGAGAGGGAAGAGAACATCTGGCCAAAGTTAGACACGTTCATTTTGGGAAGGAAGCAGTGCTCCAAACAAGGACCAGCTAACGAGACTCTTAAGCACTCATGTTAGATCAATATATAGAGATGAACAAACCTCTAGGTAAGTAGAGATTCACTTTGGAATGCTTCCAATGATTCAGATATTGCTAGAGCAATAGTGTAAAAGATGAAAATGCACTTCCAGATTTAATAATTGAAGGCATAAAGTAGTCCAGAGATAAATTTCTTGTTACAGGCAAGATAATAAATGTTCACCTTGATAATGTGCTTAGCAGATCTGGTAACAATCTCATTACAACAAAGATCCCACAGATGAGGGAGATGTTTAGTCCCTTCAGCTACCTTTTAAAATATAAGGACAAGTTAGAATCAAAATAAACATTCCACGATGATAAAAATAAGAATTTAAACACAAAACAAAACAGCACTTAATTTTCAATAGTTTATGGTAGACAATCTCCAAGGGGAACCCTTTCAAAAGCACTGAGTATTGACCAATTCTAGTATGCATACCTTTCCAATATAGCGGACATTAATTCCATGAGCATGGAGTGCTTCTGTTAATGTCTGACCATCCATAGGCGAAACCTCAAGAGTGCAGAGATCTTGTATAAACTTGGGAAGTACAATATCAGTTAGATACAGACTAACTTTCCTCACATTGTCTTCATCAGCTGCTATTTCCTGGTGAACAGGATCAAATTTAGCAATGTATGAATACCCTGAATGCAGAAAGGTCTCAATGTATTCACAAAGGAAGCTCAGACACAGTGAGCCAGGGAAAGAGATCATTGAGCAAATAAACAATTCGACACACACAAAGCGAACAGGAGAAAATCTTTAAATGGCGAAGACAAAGTAAAAATAAATTCAAAAAACCTCTGGGCTCCCTGCTAGTTTGAATTCAGTGAAGACGTTAGGGTTAAAAACTATTTCCTCATAGGAGTCTGAAACTTCAGCAGACGCAGCAGTGAGTTCTTTGACTTCCTCACTCACCTCTTCCTTTGGTAAATCCTGCTGAAGGTAATCCAAGGAACATAACCAACAACGTTAGGTCGTCAAGCCATAAAACTATGAGATTGTTCATAACGAAAGAAGAAGGGGGAAAGGATGCTGTTAACATAGTTCTTAAGAAACATGATGGAAAAGAAGTGGAGCAATTAAGAGCACAATTTCATTAAGGCTAGAAGGAGGAAGTCTATGACCAGTGCGAAGTGATGTGCGCACACATGCACAAGCAAGAAAGTAGCTCTAACGTCAGATGAAGTCAAGACAGGCATCAAACAGAGTTGAAGATAAAGTAGTCAAAGGGAAAAGGATGGGAGAAAACTGTGTCTCAAAATTCTCAGAAATATTAGCTCAGTATATAATATGTTACACTGCTGCAATGCTCACCTGCTTGTCGTCAGTAACATTTTGCGAATCAGCAGCTGTGTCTGCTCCTTGAGGACTAGTCTCCTTAGATTTTGACGTCTCTGCAGCACGGGCCTATGCCAAGAAAGAATAAAGGAAACTCAATATACAGTTCACCTGGCAAAAAAATCTTGACATTAGCGCAACACTCACCTGGCAAAAGGCAGTGATTAATTCTTGTCTTAGGATACATGATCGAGATCCAGGTCCAGTATAGTTTGCATCACGAGGAGTCACCCTCAACAAATCTAGAAGATAATGCCTGATTTGGTTTCAAAAAAAGGAGCAAATCATCGTATAGATTGCTGGAGAATAATATAAACAATTACAAGCAACAAATAAAATATGCTAAACAGAATTCTCTTTTTTTATATTCAGTTATATACTGTATCCACATGAAAGCCAGAATAGAGCTATAGAAAGTTATAATGTCAGCTATGTCCAAATCACAAGGGTCATATAAAAACAAAAAATTAACTCAGAAGAATACCGGTCATCACCACCAACAATGCCCTTGCATTCCACAGGTGCAGCCAATTTGAAAACATTTCCAGATCCATCAAGGACAGAGTGTTCCTTCAGATGAAGGCGTTTTGCCGCTTCCAAAACCTAAAATAAGAGTTTATGAGGGATATAAAAGAAACTTATATGACCTGGACCGCAGAATATAACAAGCCCAAAATTGTGCTAGAGCATACATTTTCCTGAATTTCTTTTCAGCATTGCTGTTGTACTTTTATAAATCTAAGATCAGGGCAAACATACTGGTTCATAGGAAATTCAGATCCAATCCAGACCTATGTTTTCCCGTTCTCAATTCACATTCCAAAATATCAGAGCTGGTCTCTACCAGCTATCCTCACAAGCATATAATAAAATTACAAAAGCTTAATTACCTTAGAATGAAAATCTTCGTTCCAGCAAATTTTTTTCCCATTGTCAACGGAGCCATACAGGAGAGAGTCTGATTTGTCACCTTGGAGAATTCCTGGAAGGACACTCTGCAGCAAAATATGCACGAAAAATATCAAAAGCGAAATTGTAAAAGAGAGTTCATATGATTTACAGTTTAATATACAACATATGCAGTAATACTTTCCATCAGATAATCCAGCACTTACCCCACAGGCGATGAGATTAAAAAATACAAAATCTCTCAGAATAAGCTGAATTCAATCTATCAATAATAAGGTAATTAATCATCTAATTTGATGACATGCCCATTAGAGGCAAATGAAATAGGAAATCTTCATGCTGCTCAAACATCAATGCCTAATATCCTAATCTACTATGATACAATAGTGTAAGGTAACATATAACTAGGTCAAACACTTTGTTCGAATCCGTACTTACATCCTAAATCATGCCAATCATAATTGCATGAGAACGTAGTAAGAAATCTAATAATACTAATTCTGTATTCTCATGCCGCATTACCAGAATTTCTTAACTGACTCAGGAGAATTAAAACGAAATAGCATTGAAACAGACACCCAATTTGAAAGCTAATAAAAATATGAATTGGGATATTCGGGGATGTTTCAACAGTGCATTTCAAAGCAGTTTCTTAACGTCTTGGAGGCTGTTTTGATAAGTAGCAATGCATATTGTTATATTTAGAAAAGTTCCTTGCACAAATATTCCAGAAAGAATCCTCTAATATGTGCATCAGACTCTGATGCTTAGCAGCCAAATGGATTATGACTTGGATCCCATAAGTAATAATTGCACGTTCTTGGAAAAGATACATATAATCAATAAGTGATATTCAACTTCGCTACGCACCTGAGCTACCACCCTGTGACCTCTGTAGTCAATTATAGCCATAGCAAGATTATAAAGTCCAGAGACATCAGCTTCCTGGTAAGCCTTCGTGCCTTTTAAATCATTATTTGCAGAAGCATATGTTGCCTGCTCATTCTCTGCCAACTGTGTTTCAGGAAGAATATCTTGAGTGATATCCACACCATTGGTAAGGACTTCTGAACTTGAACTATCATCTTTTGCCCCATTAACGCCTCCACAAGGCAAGCTATCAGAAGATTTTTCAACAGAACAATGCAAAGTGCCTGTGCTACATGTTTTTGAGTTAGCCTCTGCACGGGTCTTTGGCAGCTGCTCAAGGTCCGCATCAACAGCAAAGCTAAAGAATATATTGTTGTGCACATACCTATCATAGAAATGCAGACATAAATTATACTGCAGAGCCAACAACTAACAACTGTAAAGGAAATTGGCCAATCCAATAATACACATCAAATTCACCATCTAATTATGAATTCTGATCAAGATTTATAACAGATAAAATATTACGCACTACAGACAGACTACCAGGTTTTTCACAAAATAAGAATGGAAAGATGTCACTTGTGGACGATCCCCCACCTCAGCCACGGCAATATTTAACATGCATTACTAAAACATAATTACAAGCAGTGGCTAGCATACTTACAAAACATATTTCCAATATCTAAATACTCTTATCAGAAAAGTGATGGAAAAGAAAATACTCAAGAATCTGAGTTTCCAACAAAAACAAGAATATCTCCTAGCAAAATTGCCTAAACTTTAGAAGTGCAGTCCAACTAACATATGAAAGCATTCTGGGTCAGTTGGATTTATTGGAGGAATGCAACCGCTGATAACTCCAATAGCACCATTAATTGCGGCATCAACAAAATCTGATGTCACCTTATAAAGAGCCCTATCTCGCAAAATTCTGCAATAATAAAAAAATCATTAATATATAAAGTAGTCAACCAACAGACAAGTTAATAGACATGTGAAGAGTTCCAATCATCAAATCATGGATGAGAAAATTCAGGTACCTCTCCTGTGGGTTTGTATGAGGAAACTCCCGACAAGACTGCAGCTCCTCATTCCAATCTCTTTGCATTCCAATCGGCTCACTGCCATACAAAAGAGTCAAAGCATCCTCAGCCCTGGCTGAGTCACGCTTGTGATCTGGCAACAAAGGGAACAACATTACAATCTAGAGAAGACATAAAGCCCTGCGATTCAAACAATGACGCTTACTTAAAACTCAAACTCAGGGCGCTATAAACCAAATTATGGATTTCAAATATCAAGTAGATATTTGACAATTCTAGCAAGAAATATCATAACTGCCCCAAAGGCATGTCTGTTATTTAGTTAATGAAACAGACCATAAATGAACAGAATATGTGAAAGCTAACTGGCCAACTACAATGCATAGAGAAATTATGACATTACCACTAAAGGAAAAGCAACACTAATATTTAGATGCAGAAGAACAAAGTATAGCTACATAAAAAAATTGGGAAAAAAATGCTAGTAGACAAAATTCCAAAGACTGAGCTCACCTGGCACTGGAAACGATCCAAGCCACATATTAGGTGGCAGCAAAGACATCACATTTTCAAAAGGATGAGCAGCAGCCCTCCGCTCCAAAATTTCCCGTAAAGCTTCAATAATGGAAGCTTAGATTACTGGAGAAGTCAAATTAAAGTCCTATACAATGTGTACTTCAGTCACACTTGATTACCTTTTTTAAATTTGGGACTAATCTTCTGTAAGAGAGCAACAAGAGTTGTTGCTTCAGAACTAGCTTTACTTGGCCTTGGGTCCAATGTGTTCCCCGTGCTTGAATTGACATAAAACATCTTGGTGTTTCCAGTAATACAATATTTATTACCCTCTAATGTTACCACATCCAAATAAATCAAATCTCCAACAAGCCTGTAGACCACAGAACTCTGGTTTAATTACTTTGAAATGACTAAGCCCCTATTCTATAAAAATGAGATTTGCTACAGAGAAAAAATATTTGTACCTTCTGTAGCTTGGAGGAGGATTTAAGGATGAAAACACTATGCTCTCTAAACATTTAATATCCTTCTGTGGGGATGATAACAAATTACCCAGTGATCCAGAGACGTCCTCCATATAACCAAGCCCATCAAGCTCGGGAATTTCAGTTTTCAAATTATCTGTTCTTAGGAAAATACAGAAGCCAACCAATGTTCACGTTACCATGACAAGAATAAAGAAACAACAATGAAATAAAACAAAATCCAATGAAGTGGAAAGAACTATTCCATTTGATACCACCTGAACTTGCAGCTTTATTTTGTAACATCTCATTTTGAAGTGCGAGTGATGTAGATAGCGATGCATGAAGTGCAGAAAGGGAAAGCAACTCTCTTGTACGGCGAACATGAGCCCTTATAGATCTATCATCATATAATGCTGCAAACACAATTTCAATACAATAACTCATTGCTCCTCTGATGTCAAATTATCCTATTACTGCAAGAGCAAAAGCTCTATTAACATACCAGGTACCATTTCCAAGGAGCAACCACCAGTAGTAATGTCAGCTACCTCAGAAATTTCATTATAATCCTCTAAATGATGAGTAGAACCATCCTTTGTGTGAAGCAATAAGTCATAGCATGTGATAAAACATGTCTCTGGAGCATCAAGAAGAAATTGTCTTATGTCCATAACAGAGTCTCCAGGATTCAACTGTGAATCAATGAACAGAAACAACTCAGAACAAATGGGATGCACAAGTAAAACTGGAGCAGAAAAATGTTTGCTCACAGAACTTCTTGAATCTTCAATTGCTGTCAATGAACCAATAACTCACCTGTAGCTCAAGCTTTTCCCCACTTTGTGTTTTGACGGAGACAGGGTACAGTTGAAGATCACCTGCACAGTTAAGGTTGGGAAAAAGATTTTGCTTATGGTGCATAGTTCATGTCATTCTGCTAGAATTACCAACCAAAAAGATATAAATTTCACCAAATATTCACAATTAGACACTATATTTAAAAACTTTGCGAATGGACTGTATTTAAAAAAATACTGAATAGCACATGTACAACAGTGTGTTTGATAAGGGGTCCTGCTCCCCTGCCGTTCCAATTGAGCAGCAGAGGATTAAACTCACCAAAAAAACACAATCACCCAACGACTGGGAAAATAAAGTCTTTGATCACATAGATATGGCAATTCTTGTCTCATCTTACAATCCTAAGGGGAAAAATATGTTAAATAAAGAAATAAATTCACAGAAACAACAACAAAATAATATATCAGCTTCATAGCAACGCTAGGTGAGCTTATAGCTGTCAGTCGGTTAACTGAAAATAATGCAACTATAACTCTTTATGAACATAATGCTACCACACCATCAAAATATCAAACTATTACCAATAATTTATGAAAAAAAATCCCTCATTTATGAGATTTGCTCCCGAAGATCAAGCAAATTTTATACAATGATATCAAGAATTAACATTCGCTTCTAAACTTTGTAAAGTCAAACTTTTGCAAGAATTTATTCAAGAAGGATGATTTTGAAACAATAAGCCTTACACACAGAAATAATATATAAAAATACTGCTAGTGGTTTATTTTGCCCACATTTTGTTAGCAATTATGACCTTTTGCAGTAGAAATACAAGGATAAATGTGAAACCGATTTGAATAAAATAAGATTTTTAGTTATAAATGGCACCATTAAAATTCAGGAACTTCCACAAACATAAAAGGGCATCTACATCATTAATGCTTGGAATTTATTTGAAGCAACTTGGGCCACATGGACAACCAAAACCAACGACATCCGGTAAAAAAAATATAAGAAATATAAGAATGATATGCCACTGCAACATGAGTTTCCAGTCTTTCATGTCAAACACACAAAACAAAAAGTAATAATAACAACTTATCTAGCCAATTTCACCTTGCTTTTGGGCTGATTCTTGCTCCTTCACCACAGAATCAGCAACGGTTGATTCATCTGCAGCTGAAACGTCCGTTGCCTCAGGTTTCGCAGATTCTGAAGCATTTTCAATGTTATCCTTTACAGGAACATCAGATAGAACCGCTGTCTCTGTAGGATTGGAAGAATTTGAAGCGTTGTGAGACCCTCTCTTGCCCCTCCCCTTGTTCGATTTTCCAGCCATTTTTCCTGTTGGATCCCATAACTATGTCAGTGTATCTGGAACAGGAGTAAAGAGATACACAGAGGTGGGTGTAGCAAATAGCATGATTGACAAGTCATAATATGTAAGCGATTATATCCCTTCTCTCAGAATCAGTATTAACCAATGAGCAATAAGGAAAACCACCACTACTCGGGGAGATACACAAGTCAGCTCTCTAGCAAAACGCAAATATTGGAATTCTCAGTACAGATAGCAGCTAAAACAACTCTGTAGTCCGGTAAAATCCTATAAAATGACATAAAGGGATAAGCCCATGAACAAACACAATCAATTCCAGCGTCAAGGACAGGCTGGCAACATTTCGAGACGAAGAACTACAAGCACCCTTTGTACAGAACAGGGGATAAAAAACAAAAACAAATTCATTCAGCCGCACCAGTCCACTCAGTAGCACTTGAATTGTTAATTCTCAGAAGAAATAAGAACCCACATAAAAACCTAATCAAAAAGCAAACCCAAGTTCAAAGTTTTATCATTAGTACAGAGATTGAAGGTCAGACACTTGGTCATGGAAGTGCAATTTACCAAAGAGGAAATGTTCCAATGGCAGCTGAATTCACCGATTAAAGAAGAATCATACAAAGTGAATATTAGCAGATACAGGGAGGGTTTTAGAGCAGAAAATGAGAGGAGGCTGAGGTTTTGGAGGGACTAACGGAGAGAGGCACAGGAAGGAAGTGGCTGTGAACCTGTGGGGCGGCGAGCTCGTTTGCCTCTTATGGGAAAAACAGCTTTCTCAATGTGGGCTTTGGGCCTTCTGTTGTTTTTGATCGTTCATCAAAAAAACCACTCTAACCATGCGCAATGCCGTTTTTGTTGGCTGAGAAAATCTCGTATGTTATTTTTCCTTCAACAAACTTTAAATTTAAAATTTATATAAAATGTATATGACTTACCTACTTTTAATTGGACTGTTTTAAATGTATACATAAATACAATTATACTATTTTTTGGTTACAAAAGTATTACCTCTAATCCTTAATATTAGAACTTGTTTGACTTTTAATTTGGTCTTAAATATAAAACCCCAATTCACTTTATCTTTCATATTTATCCATTTTTTCAAAATAATCGTTGTAATAATTGCACATATTAAAAATTTCATTAAATGATAGTTTTAGCTAATACACATGATTAGTGAGAGTAAACTAGGAAAGGTAACACATATTTCTTACAAATAGTTAATTTAACTATTTTTTTTAATTTCTTCAAATTAGCCAATTATATCTTATATTAAGAACCAGAAGTAGTATATCACAAATCTATTGAAGTTTGGCATGCATATTACTATCTCCGATCATTAATATAAAACTTATTTGACTAATTTGGGGAGATTAAAGAAATTAGTTGAGTTAGTTATTTGTTATAAATAAGTGTTGTCTTTTCTAGAATACCTTTGTTAATCATACACATTAACTAAAACTACCATTTGATAAAACTTTTAATTAACATATATAACTACTACAAGGATTATTTTGAAAAAAATAAATAAATATGAAAAACAAAATAGATTGGGATTTTATATTTAGAATAAAATTAAAAGTCAAATAAGCTCTTATAATAAGTAATGGAGGTAGTGTTTTTTTCACCAATGTTTGCATATTATTATCATCAGTGCACCACAAGGTCTCGTAATTATTGTCTTAAGTTGAACCCGTAATCTTTTACTTGAAAGTTGTGGTTGAATGATATTACTTGCAAGTTTTTGAAGCAAAATGAATCCCTTGTACTAATTTATTAGTGTAGTTGGAAGGGGGAAAAAAATTAAAGAACTTGCTGATTTTAGAAGTGTTTCCTGTGTTTGTTTACTTGGAAAGTTACAAATCAATGAAGTACCAACTCTATGATGGAGATGGATTACTCAGTCCTCAAGAAGAGAGCAGTATCACAGTAATTGTTGATGCAAGGCAGCTCGTAAGTCCTACTCTGATGACTTAGAAGCCATGAAGTAAACTGTGTCTGAAATAAACTCCGTGCTTGATAATACAGAGTGAAAGGCTTGTTTCTTGATGCTGATGACCTGTTTGATGATCTGTCTGCTCTGCTGAAGCTCTGAGAAGACGAGTGATGACTGAAAATAGGGGAAGCTGAAGAGGCACAGATTTTTCTTCTCTATATAGAACCAAGTTTTATGCTTTCTGAAAATGACTTGTCAAGCTAAATGAATCATGAAAAGGCTAGATCACATCACTTAAGTTATGAAAGATTTGAAATTTATTGGAAGGGACGAGAAAAAGAATCATATCATGAGGTATATGATAGATACTAGTGTTCAGGACAATGTCTTAGTACTTTCCTTAGAGGAATTGGACGACTGGGAAGTACTACACTTGCTCAACTCGTTCGCAGCAATGAGGTTGCTCTACATGATTCTTAGATGAAAATGTGCGTTCGTGTGTAAGGTTAATCTGTTTTTCCTCTAAAATTGCTCAGAAGATTCTGGGCCAGACAATATGAAATGAGATAGAGCAAGTGCAATAGGATCTCAGAAACGATACTGATAAGGAAAGAGATTCTTGCTTTGACTTTGGATAACATGGAATATTAGGGTGTGCTCGGTGGAAGAAGCTGAATTGATAGCTACCAAAAAAAGGTCTTTTTTGCAAGCAATGGGCTGTCATCAAGTTTTGATGTACGATGACTCTCTAGGCTCTTTTAATCCCTTAATGAGAGATTGAGATCTTGGCCATCCATTACAGTCCCTCATCACAGAGATTAGAGACACGTTATATGAACATTGGTATGTAAAGATACACTAATCCAGAGACACCATCAGGTACGCTGACTATGTGGCTCGCGAAGGACACACCGATACATCAGAGATCGTGATGGTACCGTATGTATCGAATGGCTGATTGGACATGTTTTTGGAAGATAAGCAATCAGTTTGCTTAGTCTTTATATGTTTGCTAGGAACCTGTCCTAATTTTATTTTGATCAAGCCTTTGCTTGCCTTGTATTCTCCAAGAAGATAACATATGGAATGAAGATTGTGAATTATTATGACTCAAATTGGAAAACTTTTTGATGGACGGAGGAACATAAGCAAGAATCATAGATGCTGATTTGTCTATTTCCTTAGCAGGTCTAGAAATAATCATCGGAACTTCCTCTCCGTGGCTTTTTGAAAAGGACGACAGGTTCAAAATAGGAAAAGACATTATCAGTTGCGTTGTAGTCACCCTTGAAAGCCTTAAAACCGTTTTTTTCCCTTTGTCCAGCGTTGGTAGAAAAGCCAAGAGATATTAACAAAATGGCAAGTCTCAGACTTCTTTAGTAGGATAGATGAAGTTCTTTGATTTGTATGGCACGAGGGTTGTCATTAACTCAGCTGCAAACATTGAAATGATTCGTACTGGACCGTTAAAGGACTCTCAATAGAGTAAGGATCCATGAATTGGGAATGCTTAATGGATTGAGAGGGAAATTACAAATCAAAAACCAGAAATATCAGAGGGATAACACGGAACAGGTTGAGTTTTCCAGGAGAACTGGGGTTGCTGATCCATGAAAGGGAACATGTTTGACTATAAAGATGAAATATTTTTAGAAGCATTGCAGCCGACGTCAGGAGAAGGTTAATTGGTTTCTCTGGAGAAGGTTACCATAGTGTGCAGGGAATCTAATATCACCCTTGTTCTTGTAATTTTGCGACATCACTAATAAAATTAGAAGAAAATATCATGTTACTGCAGAAGCTTCATATTAGGAATGGCTTGGGTTCAGTAAGCGGAGCAAGGCTTTAATAACTTATGGGGGTTATTGGTAATTAAAGGCTAGCAATCCCAGCAGGATCCGCAAACGAGGTTGAATTTACAGAGTTCCTTGAGGAGCCATGATTAGTTTGGTTTTTTGATTAGCAGACAGTAAAACAAACATATGAACAAATTAAATTGGACATAAAGATGAGAAGATTATAGAAAAGCTGCAGCAGCATCGCATGTTCAAAAGAGTATTCATAGTGAGATCAAAATGGGTAATGCTCCTCCGGTACTTAATATAAAATCTATTTAACTAATTTAATTAGATTAAAAAAATTAAGTAAGTTAGTTAATTATAAAAAATATGACATTTTCTAAAACATCATAATCATCTTTTTTAATATCTCATCTCCCTCTCCCACTTAATTATGGTTGAGGGTGTATTAATAGGGTTAATTTAAAAAAAATTGATAAATATGAAAAATAGATCTTATATTTAAGACCAAAATTAACTCAATAATTAGGTCCTCGGAGTATCAGATATTTACAAAGAGACTAGTGGTGATTTAATTTCCTGTTCAAATTTGACATGTGAAAGAACGAGAGGAGTGAGATTTGGCAAATTTGACTTGTCATCTTCAATTCAAATCCAAGGTATATTGTGCTTCAACTCAGTTGTTCTTTTGATTGTTCCGAGTAGATAGCTTATGAGCTCCAACTCTCTCCTTTCATTATTCATGACCTTCCGTGGCTGTAAGCTATCTACCAAAAACACATTCACGTCCACGTAACTAATGACAGATGAATTTTTTTGAAAAGAAGTGGCCATTTGATTTCCATTCCCGGGCAGCTAGAGTAAGTTTCTTTAAAGGCAATCCAAGGCATTTAACATAAACCCATTGCAGATTCATCATGAAGTGATTTCCCTCAAAGTTCATCTCTTAGGTACATATCATTGCAATTATTTGATGGGAGAATTGCAATAAGATCCCAAGTAAAGAACATGATTACTAAAAAGTGTTAATGACAATCGAGCAGTTAGCAATAACAAGTTTCAGAACAGTAAATGATAATTACACACTTATCATTCAAATTTTTAGCAATTATATTCTTTACTTGGGATCTTATTGTAATTCTCTCTTATATGATTGTAATAAAATAATGTGGCTGAGGCTGTTGGACTGATTAACAAAACTTACTCACATAATTAGACAATTAGTTTAACATTAAAAGATTGGATCACCTGATCAACGGATAGCTGATTGTTTGTGCTGAACAATGATATTCACTAGTCTATTTCAAAAATATGGTTCCTTTAGCTTTCCATTACAATTCTCAATGTATAGAAGAAAGAATACATAACACAACTTAAAAATTAAAAAAATTAAATAACATAATAAATAAGTAAGTCGATAAACTATTTATTAAGCCAACAAAAAATGGTTGTAGAGGGGAAGTGATAGATCAAAAGACATACATATATATAATCAGAAAACAAAACAGAAAAATTTAAAGAAAACCAAACGGAAAAAAGAGAAAAGAGAATGATTTTTCATTACCCTCTCTTTCTCCAGCTCTCTTTCACTAGCCATTCCTATCGTCGTCTAACAAATAAATAAATAAATGTCTTTGACACATATATGTTATATATAATGTTTATATATATATATACCACAATATCCTTTTGCTTTTTCCTTCTTCCCCCTTCAATTTCCAGCCATGATCATACTGTTCATGGCTTAGAAATGAATGTTGTAGGCAACGAAAGAGAGAATGGTGGCACCAATCAAAGGAACAAGACCAGCCGCTCCACTTGACGGGCCGGGAGCGGCTGCCGGAGTGCTGGTGACGGTGATGCCGGGAGAGGCATCGGGAGATCCGACGGGGGTTGTCGGAACGGCAGGGATATGAGGAACGTTTGCCATGACGGCGCTGAGGGAGGCAGCGACGAAGATGACGGCACAAGCAAGCTTCTTCATCTCCATTATTATGGCTTGATTGATCGTGTAGTGATGAGGGGGAAAAAAATAAATATATAATTTATTATTATTAATCTTTTTTACTTTATTAAATCTGCAGAAGCTACCTGAGGATTTTATAGTTTGTTTGGGACTAATTTTGGGATGATTTTTTTTTGTTATTTTTGGATATAGAAATTAATGCTCAAAATTCTCTGCTTATTTATCTTTGCATGAGAAACAATTTCGGTATTATTATTGACCGAGTATTTTGGGATTTTTTTTTTATGGTTCTCAAATTTTCTTCTTTTATCAGGGGCTCATTTCTCTCAAGTCAATTAGAATATTTTCATATAAAAAGCTTTACTATATTTTGGGCCGTATATAATTATTTACTTTTTTTTAACTAAAAACAGAAAATGCATACGATATTAAAGTTAAGGGGGAAATGAAAAGAAAAATGAAATTTTAATTTCGAAAACTAAAATGCCATTTTGAAATTAAAAAAAATGATAAAAATACCTTTTCAAAAAAAAAAAAAAAAGAAGAGGAAGAAGCTTTCCAACCCCTCACCACCAGTTGGTGGTTTGTGCTAAAATTAAGGATGATTATTAAGCCACCTCTTCATAAAAGTATTATTAACAAATGTTGTTTAAAGATAAATCATGGATGCAAAATATATGCACTCTAATGTGATTAGGAAAAATGAATTTTTAAGTGATATAAGCTAGAAAGGCAAAAGAAACAAAATTGAACAGGAAGAAAAGTGGTAAATCTGGGGCGCCAGTTCTCATTCGCCTGGAATAAATCTGAAATCTGAAATACCCTAATTCTTTTTTAAAAAATTAATAACTTTTATTTAATAAATACGTGACAGAAAATAAATATAATTTTTAATTGCCATTCTATAAGAAAATACACAAGTTTACATTTTAGAGTTTAAATAAAATTCAGACGGTACAAAATACAGAATTGGTTGAGACATTATAGTTAGAAATATAATAAAAAAATGGGGAAAACTCCTATTAAAAGTTTTATTGACAAAAAAGACCTAAATCAAAACACTAATATTCTGTGTATATAAAATTTATAAAGTAAAACACTTTCCGTATATAAAAATTAACCGCCCCTCTTATTAATAAAATTTTGATTGAACAATTTTTTTCCTAATTTTCTCAAGACAAAACGAATGAGAAGTGGGATTAGTTGTTCCATCAATCTTTTCTTGTCTCATCAAAATTAAATATACACTCATGATTGCAACAGGATCCAGCATATTTGATATGTTCCCGCATGATATACTTAATTTATTATATAAAAAGTTAGCCAATTCATTTGAATAGATTAGATTGATTGATTCATTAATTATATATAATAAACATGATATGATCTCTCTAAAACACTTTTATATAATATAATATAATATATATATAAATTTGTAAATTAGATAAATTAGTTTAAAAAATAATTAATACTATAAGAAATAAAATGGATTGATATTTTTTATATTTAGAATTAAATTTAATTTTCAAACTAGTTCTTATATTACAAATTTAAAATAGTATCATGTTCTGATTGTGAAATGATCCCGTATCACGTATGATTATTTAGTTTAAGATCATTGATCAAAATGTTTTGCTGATGATTACTTATTAATTGTTTTTAATTATAATACAATTCTACATAAAATATGATCAATTATTTGAGGTTTTATATAATTGATTATTACTGATTACCCCAGTCCCCAGATTTGAATCTAAGAAATAGTTTTAAAATGTTGAGTGGCTTTTTATTTAATGAACGTGTTTTTTTAATGGAATTTTTAATCGGAGTCCCTCCCACTGAAATAGAAAGAGGAGAAAGAGGGGACGTGAGGGAAAATGACATGTTTGGTGGATTTTAACACATGATGTAAAGAACTGCGCTGTGGACCATGAAATAATGACAGAAATATTTAAAAATTGCACACAACGTGACAAATATGCTTTTACTTTTCTTCTACTCATTTATTTATTTTCGCTTTTTATTTTATTTCAACATCCATTGCATTGGATGGAGCACTTTTTTCCCATTGAAACCAAACATTATTTCGATATTTATTGCCACCCACATTTTAATATCAAATATAAAATTTATAATAATTTTCTATTCACTAACAATAAATAATATAACCTAGTCTTTAAATTTTATGTTAGAAAAATTTTATCCTATGTCTATGATCTTAATATCAATTGATACTAAGCATCTCTTTTAAACTTATTAATATCATTTTTCTCTTAAACTTTTATGAAGTGTATTTTCAATCCTTTAATGCTAACACCATTAATCTTATTTTTTTTAAAATGGTTAATATAATTTTTCTAATAAAAAGGGGGTTAATATAATGTTTAGTGCCTTGCCTTTATTTTGGTTTTGTTACATCAAATTTCAGATTATAAGTTTTAGTATCTCAAGTTTATTTCCATCTAAAATGTTGGTCCCTATAATTTAATAAAATCTAGACTATTTTGCTCATTAAATGACCAAAATTCATTATTTAAAACTTGAAGGACTAAAGCTAAATTTCATGCAAATTTAAAGGATAAAAAATCGTATTAGCCCTAACACAAAAAAAAAAATAACAGAGTAAATTTAAATGGTGACTTTATAATTAAGTGCTAACAAAACATGTTCTAACTTTTAATTCTTTATTATTATCATTTATTTTTAAATTCGAACATAAGCATTTACTTGCACAGTCATCATTTTTTTTTTACCAGCAGCACAGTCATCATTCAAATTTATTAAAACAGCATTTTTTTTAATTAAATTATTTTGACAGTCTTGCGAGATTAAATTAAAGTTTGCTGCGTCTGTTATCTATAGCACATAAAATATCTCTTTTTTCCTCCTTTGGTAATGATATCCTGATAGCCACCAGAGCCATTCAAGAAAAGACAAAGGTCCCTAACAAGCTGGTCACGTCTTACTCTGATGTTTGGGCAAACCCATTTTTGCCTTTTTGTCTTGTACTCCCTCTACTTGAAAATATAAACTAAATTTTTTTAAAATGGTTGATTTTTTTATAAGATAACATTTATTTTTGTTTAAGCATTTAATGAAATTTTTTTAATTTTATCCCGTATATTCTCTCTCCTCTTTAATTCATTTCTTACATCTTTTACTTATTCTCTTCATTAATAAGAGTATAGAAAAAAAAACAAATATATGCCTTACACATTTATTATTTTAAATTGATTTTAATTAGTTTCTTGATAAATGTAATAGCTAAAGTTTAGCTTATATTCTGAACTGGAGACAGCATTTTCTAAAGCAACCGTCTTAGTGATATTAAAGTTCTTCTGAAAAGTATGTGTATTAATAAGAAGAAACTTAATCCTGCTTCTTTCTCCCCCTTAAAACTAAAGCTATCTTACCTTTAATTCTTAATACTTCATATCAAAGGCATCTAGATTCTCTAAGATAGCTTTAGGGGTGGGTCCTTCATTTTTATTTTCTGATATTGTTCATGTCACTAGTTAACTTTCATTTTATTGGCAATATTATTTTGTGAAAAAAGGGTAGCGGAGAAAAGATATTTCGAATTTAATTTAATGTATTTGTCACTGAATGGCAGAGGGACCTGCCCTTCCGGCTCCATGAAAAACGGATCATTGTCCTGAGACTCTGCTTTGCCGTTTGTCTGTGTCGGTCGTCTTCTCCCCTCTCCAGTAGCGTCTGGGTTCCATTTTGTTCGCACCCATCAATTTTATTAATTAGGAAAAATATAATTAATGATGAAAACAAGTAATCAGCGACTACAAATGAAAACATCACCTTGAGTTTTTCCTGGCTCATATACGTCCTGAAAATTTATTTTGGTAATAAAAATATGTTAGCTGTTATCTGTTATTAAGTTTGATCTTGCCTCTTTAACCATAAAATTAATGCCAAATTATAGTTCATGACACAAATGTTAGGAATAAAACTTTCAGTTTCAAAGCATATAAGAGCCATTAAAAAACTCTTAGATATTGAGTGCTTATTTATAAATACTTCCCGGATATTTAAGCACTTTATAAATAAAAATTCTTAATCCCTTATTTAACAGTTGATATCAAATCAGTGTAAAAGTGAAATCAATTTCAATATTCATCACAATGATAAGTATATCTCAACCATTTAAATTTAATATGGACAGTCAAAAATTAATATTTAATAAGTACATAATTCAAAGTAAATGCAGTCTTTTAATAGTAAGGTTTTTAAAAAATAAATTTTTTTATTTAAAAATTATTAATTAAAAATTTTAAATATAAACCATTAAATCTAATTTTTGTATGGTTTAGATTTCACTGATACTGAAATAGGCTGTCCGCCATCCTATTATCGTCTTCTTCTTCTTGGGCTTGCTTCCTCAGGTGACAACCATGTGCGAAGGTCTCAGAGTGAAGATTATGGAGCAGAGCCGAGTCTCTGCTCCTCCACATTCAGCCTCACCTAACTCTCTTCCACTCACCTTCCTCGACCTTCCATGGCTCTTCTTCTCCCCGAACCAACCTCTCTTCTTCTTCCCCTTCCCTTTCTCTCTCTCTCACTTCACCACCTTCACTCTCCCTAACCTCAAGCTCTCCCTCTCCCTCACCCTCCAACATTACTTCCCCTTCGCCGGAACCTTCGTTCCCTCCCCGGAACCTTCCAAACCCCACATTGTTTACTCCGAAACAAGCTCAGTCTCTCTGGTGGTCGCTGAATCATCCGACGACTTTAGCCATTTATGTAGCAACCATGCCAGAGACGCCAATCGCTTCTACTCACTTGTTCCGAAGCTGAAATCTGGAAAGAAGAAGATTCCTTTGATGGCAATTCAGATTACTGTTTTCCCAGATTCTGGTATTTGCATTGGACTCGCTTATCTGCATATTCTTGGAGATGGAAGAACCTTCCACAATTTCATGAACACCTGGGCTGCGTATTGCTCCTCCCAGCAAGCTTCATCGTTTCCACCCAAATCTCCACCCTTTTATGATCGAAGTGTGATTGTGGAT